CTACAGCATAAAATTACATTCTAGACGATTCTGTGCTTCCAACAGTTTGGGTAAGGCCATTTCCTGTTTCAGCATGACAATGCCCCAGTGCACAAAGCGAGGTCTATACAGAAATGGTTTGTCGAGATCGGTGTGGAAGAACTTGACTGGCCTGCACAGATGCTCTTGTGGCTGAATGGAAACAAGTCCCCGCAGCAATGTTCCAACATCTAGTGGAAAGCCTTCCCAGACGAGTGGAGGCTGTTATAGCAGCAAAGGGGGGACCAACTCCATATTAACGCCCATGATTTGGAATGAGATGTTCGAGCAGGTGTCCACATACTTTTGGTAATGTAGTGTATTTAGTTGAAGGTCTCCATCTCCATAAAATGTGTAGAGCTTTTCCATAGGAATCTAAGACATGCTCCTGTACTTTGGTGAAAGTATTTTTTAAACCTCCCGCTTTGGGCTGGATATGTTCAATGTCTAGTTCATTCATGCATCATTTATGAGAATAAGTACTTTTTTACATCAATTAGCCACGAAATCCTTAGATTAAAAGATAGTTTTCTTGAAGCGGGTCTGACCTAGAGTATGTGGACAACTACAAATACCTAGGTGTCTGGTTAGACTGTAAACTCTCCTCCAGACTCACATTAAGCATCTCCAATCCAAAGTTAAATCTAGAATCGGCTTCCTATTTCGCAACAAAGCCTCCTTCACTCATGCTGCAAAACATGCCCTTGTAAAACTGACTATCCTACCAATCTTTGACTTCGGCGATGTCATTTACAAAATAGCCTCCAACACTCTACTCAGCAAATTGGATGTAGTCTATCACAGTGCCATCCATTTTGTCACCAAAGCCCCATATACTACCCACCACTGTGACCTGTACACTCTCGTTGGCTGGTCCTCACTACATATTCGTCGCCAAACCCACTGGCTCCAGGCCATCTATAAATCACTGCTAGGCAAATCCCCGCCTTATCTTAGCTCATTGGTCACCATAGCAACACCCACCCGTAGTATGCACTCCAGCAGGTATATCTCACTGGTCATCCCCAAAGCCAACACCTTCTTTGGCCGCCATTCCTTCCAGTTCTCTGCTGCCAATGACTGGAACGAATTGCAAAAATCTCTGAAGCTGGAGACTCTTATCTCCCTCACTAACTTTAAGCATCAGTTGTCAGAGCACCTTACCGATCACTGCACTTGTACACAGCCCATCTGAAATTAGCCCACCCAACTACCTCATCCCCATATTGTTATTTATTTAGCTAATTTGCACCCCAGTATCTCTATTTTCACATCATCTCTTGCACATCTATCATTCCAGTGTTAATACTAATTGTAATTATTTTGCACTATGGCCTATTTATTGCCTTACCTCCATAACTTGCTACATTTGAACACACTGTACAGTGGGGAAAAAAAGTATTTAGTCAGCCACCAATTGTGCAAGTTCTCCCACTTAAAAAGATGAGAGAGGCCTGTAATTTTCATCATAGGTACACGTCAACTATGACAGACAAATTGAGGAAAAAAAATCCAGAAAATCACATTGTAGGATTTTTTATGAATTTATTTGCAAATTATGGTGGAAAATAAGTATTTGGTCACCTACAAACAAGCAAGATTTCTGGCTCTCACAGACCTGTAACTTCTTCTTTAAGAGGCTCCTCTGTCCTCCACTCGTTACCTGTATTAATGGCACCTGTTTGAACTTGTTATCAGTATAAAAGACACCTGTCCACAACCTCAAACAGTCACACTCCAAACTCCACTATGGCCAAGACCAAAGAGCTGTCAAAGGACACCAGAAACAAAATTGTAGACCTGCACCAGGCTGGGAAGACTGAATCTGCAATAGGTAAGCAGCTTGGTTTGAAGAAATCAACTGTGGGAGCAATTATTAGGAAATGGAAGACATACAAGACCACTGATAATCTCCCACGATCTGGAGCTCCACGCAAGATCTCACCCTGTGGGGTCAAAATGATCACAAGAACGGTGAGCAAAAATCCCAGAACCACACGGGGGGACCTAGTGAATGACCTGCAGAGAGCTGGGACCAAAGTAACAAAGTCTACCATCAGTAACACACTACGCCGCCAGGCACTCAAATCCTGCAGTGAGAGACGTGTCCCCCTGCTTAAGCCAGTACATGTCCAGGCCCGTCTGAAGTTTGCTAGAGTGCATTTGGATGATCCAGAAGATGATTGGGAGAATGTCATATGGTCAGATGAAACCAAAATAAAACTTTTTGGCAAAAACTCAACTTGTCGTGTTTGGAGGACAAAGAAGGCTGAGTTGCATCCAAAGCACACCATACCTACTGTGAAGCATGGGGGTGGAAACATCATGCTTTGGGGCTGTTTTTCTGCAAAGGGACCATGACGACTGATCCGTGTAAAGGAAAGAATGAATGGGGCCATGTATCGTGAGATTTTGAGTGAAAACCTCCTTCCATCAGCAAGGGCATTGAAGATGAAACGTGGCTGGGTCTTTCAGCATGACAATGATCCCAAACACACCGCCCGGGCAACGAAGGAGTGGCTTCGTAAGAAGCATTTCAAGGTCCTGGAGTGGCCTAGCCAGTCTCCAGATCTCAACCCCATAGAAAATCTTTGGAGGGAGTTGAAAGTCTGTGTTGCCCAGCGACAGCCCCAAAACATCACTGCTCTAGAGGAGATCTGCATGGAGGAATGGACCAAAATACCAGCAACAGTGTGTGAAAACCTTGTGAAGACTTACAGAAAACGTTTGACCTGTGTCATTGCCAACAAAGGGTATATAACAAAGTATTGAGAAACTTTTGTTATTGACCAAATACTTATTTTCCACCATAATTTGCAAATAAATTCATAAAAAATCCTACAATGTGATTTTCCTGGATTTTTTTTCTCCATTTGTCTGTCATAGTTGATGTGTACCTATGATGAAAATTACAGGCCTCTCTCAACTTAAGTGGGAGAACTTGCACAATTGGTGGCTGACTAAATACTTTTTCCCCCCACTGTATATACATTTTCTGTTGTAGTTTTGTTTTACCCCATATGTAACTCTGTTGTTTTAAAAAATGTGTTGCTTTATCTTGGCCAGGTCGCAGTTGTAAATGAGAACTTGTTCTCAACTGGCCTACCTGGTTAAATAAAGGTGAAAGAAAGAAAGAAAGCTGTGCTGCACCATTTTCCCTACATTTCCCCCCCCCGCCATGAGGGCCAGCCCCCTAGCAATTTGAGTTCTAGCTAATGAGCTTCAGCCCCTCGCATTTAAGTGAGCTAGCAAGAGGCCTGCCCAGCGTTATCCAATGATGTTGCAGGGCAGGTCCAACGGCTCAGTGGCCACAGCAGAGAAAGGGCGCATTCTATTATTATAAGCCGGCGGGGCACCGGTTTATGGCCCCTTACATCTCAAATCCAACAGTAATCTGCACAGCTCTGTCATTTTGTCAACAAGGCAGCCTGGTGCATCGTCCAGAAACATACACCTCTTTTCCATGAACTAAATGTTAGAATTTTCTAAAAAATGTCTCATTGGGAAGGCAGATAAAAGCATTTTTATCAAAAGCAATTCTTTTGCATGGGAAAACACAGAATCCTAGTAATTACTACGCATGCTTAATTACGTCACTTTTGTTTTGAGCAGACTTTGAAAGGGGCACCTGGCTCAAACCCGGAAGGCAGCCCGGTTCCAAATTGAAGGCAATCAACTTCCAGCCGATGCAAAACACGCCTACACGGGCGGGATTAATGGAGAGAGAGCAATGACGTAGTGCACATATCTGTGATGTAGTACGCAATTTTCTTAAGTGCTACTTTCAGAACTACTGGCAAAAGAAGTCTACAAAAGTATCAGAGAATCTCTTTAATAACACATACTGGTACCATAAGAAACTTAGCTCATAAGTTTCAAACTTTTATTTTCAAGTTCAAATGAACACCTTGCAACAAGTTTAACTTTATTTTTTCAAAAGGAAAATAACTTCAAATACAAACGAAAGTTAGTTGATTTTCTGATCCAGATAGAGAATAGGCAGAATACTCTTACATTGCGTCGCCAGAGTTTTTACACAAAATAAATTTCATTGCCAACCTGTTAGGGAATACCAGAGAGCTCTAAAAGTATTAGGACAGTGACATTTTGGGTTCTTTTGGCTCTGTAATCCAGCACGTTGGATTTGAAATGATACAATGACTATTGGGTTAAAGTGTAGACTGTCAACTTTAATTTTAGGGTATTTTCATCCAACATTTAGAAATTACAACACCTTTTGTATATAGTCCTCCCCCCCATATTTTAGGGGACCAAAAGTATTGGGACAAATTCACTTATATGTGTATTAAAGTAGAAAAATGTTCCGGAATCAAGTGTTTAGAAACATATTCTATTCTTATTTACAATTCAAGGGACTCCAAAATGACAATACATTAGTTACCATTAATTTCCATTGGGCACAAAATAATCTGAAACACAACCAAAACAAACAGCAAATGCATCCAACAAGAGTCACAAGCATGATGTCATCAAGGCGTGCTAGGAATATGGGACCAAATACTAAACTTTTTACTACTTTAATACACATATGTGAATTTGTTCAAATACTTTTGGTTCCCTAAAATGGGGGGACTATGTACAAAAAGTGCTGTAATTTCTAAACATGTCACCCGATATGGATGAAAATACCCTTAAATTAAAACTGACAGTCTGCACTTTAACCTCATAGTATCATTTCAAATGTGTCACTGTCCCAATACTTTTGGAGCTCACTGTATCTCATTAAAGCCACTAACACAAGTACAGAGACTGGGGGATAGTGTGTGTTTGAACACTGAGGCTGTTCGAGTGAGCCTCCTCGCTGTCATTGACAGCCATCCCATTTCTATTGGCGACACTACCGTAACCATTATCAGTGACACTTCCATTGATGACCGTCCCCTTGCCAACCATGGCATTGTCATTAACCACCATCCCATTTTCATTGATGACACCAGTCACCTGTTCCCTGCAAGGGGACCCTAGAAAGGGCCTTCACATCCTGGGAAAAGGGTAGGGATGGAAATGGGGAGGTGGGGTGTGGAACCTCTAGAATGCCCCCCCTCCTTGCCCTCTCCCCTCTCCTCTTTGTTGGCCCGGAAGGTCAGGGCGGAGTGGCAGTCTAGACACACCTTGTTCACCTTGTTGCCATCGTACTCCAGAGTTACTTTGTTCTCTGAACACCTCCAACACACCACCTGACAAACAGGTGGACACACAGGACGTCATGGTCATATCTGGCTGGTTATGTTAGAAAGAATGGAAGTACAGCACTGAACGTGAATGCTATTTCAACTAATCATAACCTTACCCCAGCCTTAGGTAAAGGGAATGTGAAGTGTGTGTTATGTATCCCATGTGTGTGTGTGTGTGTGTGTGTGTGTGTGTGTATCTATATGTGCGTACGTGTGTGTTTGTTAACTCACACAGCCACAGGCTCTGCAGTGGTGTCTCCATCGGGTGAGGGCGTTGAAGGGTTCGCTACACTTCATGCACACGGTCACCTCATTGTCCCTGATCCATCGAGGGGCACGCCGACCCAGTTCCTCCGTCTGTTCACACACACAGGAGCGAAGACACACTCAAAATCAGTTTTCAGTCTCGCTTTGTGGTTTTTCCACCCGTACATGCAATAGGATCACAAACGAGTTGTTCCTCCTTCCCTTTAGCTAAATGATCCGTTCCCCTCCACTTTGCCTGTGATTTATCCCTCTATATGAATACAGTGAGCATACTGTACAGATGGAGAAACACACACACACAAAATAAAATTATATCGGTATCCTTACAGATACCTCTACTTCTTTAGAAGCTGACTTAAAAGTCTCAATCTTCTGCCGGAAAACATCAATGGTGTCCTGAAAAGCCTGAAAGTACAAGGCCTGTTAGACCATGTGTGCTCTCTCGATATACTCATTATGTGTCATTGGTAATTCATACATGTTTCAAAATATGACAAAGCACTGTTACCTTTATCCAGTTCTCCTTGTCTTGTTCAGAGCTGGAAAGAGAACGCCACGTTAACACTTATACAAAATATATTCATCCATCCAAGACCTTCAGGTGAGTTATATTAGTGTGACATCCACCCCTCCCCTCACCTGGCCTGTAGGTCCAGGGTCCTCTCCAGGGTCCTCTCCTTTCCAGACACCTTGAAGGTGTGGGGGTGGTGTTCGTTGGTGGTGCGCTGCACAATCATGCCCTCCATGTCTATCCGTGTCCGCAGGGTGAACCGCTGCCCCCCCAGGCTGAACCGAGGAGTGCAGCACAGCAGCATGTTGTTGAACTGGATTGACAGCAGAGGGCGCGAGAGGCAAGAAAGACATGAGGGTTTTAAGTATGAGCACCAAGAGTCTCCTGAATGACCCATTAATGCAGGAGTGTCTCAAACTCATTCCACGGAGGGCCGAGTGTCTGCGAGTTTATTATTTCCTGTCAGTTAAGACCTAGACAACCAGGTGAGGGAGTTCCTTACTAATTAGTGACCTTAATTCATCAAGTACAAGAGTGGAGTGAAAACCTGCCATCCTTGGAATGAGTTTGACCCGTGTGGGTTAATGGATGGATGGATGTTCAGTGGTTACTATTCAGTGAAGTGCAAGATTTCGACGAAATAGAGATTATTTAATTCCATATTATACATAGCAGAAAATCATGTCTGTTCTACACTATACATTTCTATAGCAACATTATATAATGTTGTGTCCTCCTAAAAGCCATAAGGTCTCCATTGGGAAAGAGGTGGTCTTCTGACCTCAATGGGACTTCCTGGTAAAATAAAGGTTAAAATATTGTGAGCTGGTCTAACCAGGAAGAGGTGTCTCTCCATAGCGGAGTTCCTGGCAGCCAGCATCAGAATGCGTCCCTCCCTGATGAACTCATTAGAGGGGTTCATCACGTCCTTCTCCTCCCCCAACATCTCGTAGATCTCCAGCAGCTTCTTCCGGTTCTCCTAGAGGACAACACAGCAGAACGGAGGATGTTAAACAACAGAGCATATCATAAACTTCTGTCCCAACCAATAGAAAATGAACAAAGTACAGATGACAGTAGTTAAGCGTAGTAATATTTTACTCTCTAAGCCAAAAGAGAAATGGGTCTCTAGATATACTGTACTGACAACTGTTACAGCGGGGAAAAAAGTATTTAGTCAGCCACCAATTGTGCAAGTTCTCCCACTTAAAAAGATGAGAGAGGCCTGTAATTTTCATCATAGGTACACGTCAACTATGACAGACAAATTGAGGAAAAAAAATCCAGAAAATCACATTGTAGGATTTTTTATGAATTTATTTGCAAATTATGGTGGAAAATAAGTATTTGGTCACCTACAAACAAGCAAGATTTCTGGCTCTCACAGACCTGTAACTTCTTCTTTAAGAGGCTCCTCTGTCCTCCACTCGTTACCTGTATTAATGGCACCTGTTTGAACTTGTTATCAGTATAAAAGACACCTGTCCACAACCTCAAACAGTCACACTCCAAACTCCACTATGGCCAAGACCAAAGAGCTGTCAAAGGACACCAGAAACAAAATTGTAGACCTGCACCAGGCTGGGAAGACTGAATCTGCAATAGGTGAGCATGTTGGTTTGAAGAAATCATCTGTGGGAGCAATTATTAGGAAATGGAAGACATACAAGACCACTGATAATCTCCCTCGATCTGGGGCTCCACGCAAGATCTCACCCCGTGGGGTCAAAATGATCACAAGAACGGTGAGCAAAAATCCCAGAACCACACGGGGGGACCTAGTGAATGACCTGCAGAGAGCTGGGACCAAAGTAACAAAGCCTACCATCAGTAACACACTACGCTGCCAGGGACTCAAATCCTGCAGTGCCAGACGTGTCCCCCTGCTTAAGCCAGTACATGTCCAGGCCCGTCTGAAGTTTGCTAGAGTGCATTTGGATGATCCAGAAGAGGATTGGGAGAATGTCATATGGTCAGATGAAACCAAAATATAACTTTTTGGTAAAAACTCAACTCGTTGTGTTTGGAAGACAAAGAATGCTGAGTTGCATCCAAAGAACACCATACCTACTGTGAAGCATGGGGGTGGAAACATCATGCTTTGGGGCTGTTTTTCTGCAAAGGGACCAGGATGACTGATCCGTCTAAAGGAAAGAATGAATGGGGCCATGTATCGTGAGATTTTGAGTGAAAACCTCCTTCCATCAGCAAGGGCATTGAAGATGAAACGTGGCTGGGTCTTTCAGCATGACAATGATCCCAAACACACCGCCCGGGCAACGAAGGAGTGGCTTCGTAAGAAGCATTTCAAGGTCCTGGAGTGGCCTAGCCAGTCTCCAGATCTCAACCCCATAGAAAATCTTTGGAGGGAGTTGAAAGTCTGTGTTGCCCAGCGACAGCCCCAAAACATCACTGCTCTAGAGGAGATCTGCATGGAGGAATGGGCCAAAATACCAGCAACAGTGTGTGGAAACCTTGTGAAGACTTACAGAAAACGTTTGACCTGTGTCATTGCCAACAAAGGGTATATAACAAAGTATTGAGAAACTTTTGTTATTGACCAAATACTTATTTTCCACCATAATTTGCAAATAAATTCATAAAAAATCCTACAATGTAATTTTCTGGAATTTTTTTTCTCATTTTGTCTGTCATAGTTGACGTGTACCTATGATGAAAATTACAGGCCTCTCTCATCTTTTTAAGTGGGAGAACTTGCACAATTGGTGGCTGACTAAATACTTTTTTCCCCCACTGTATCTGCAGAATGTAGAGGATTAGCATATTAGATCTGCACGTACTGATTTGCGGATGGCGCTGTTCGAGTGTGTTGCTGCCATGGAGATGACCTGCAGAGACTCTGAAGGCAGACAAAGAGATCAATACCTTATTTTATTTTTTATAAAGAATAGCAAAACCACAAAACCCCTAAACCACAAAACCTAATCTATTATGGTTGTTGTGACAGTTACTGTGACGACACTGCGTGAGTCTTAGCTAGCGATGAGGACTACCTGATCTCTGCTTCAGTAAGAGTGAGGCTGGCCTTTGTGGATCTACTGTATGTTGGACTATGTCTATGGTACAGTAAGTAAGGCAGGTGTCAACTTACTCTCTGCGTGGCTGTGGTCTGAGTCGTCATCAGGCAGTCTCTTGAGGTAGTCTCTCAGCAGCATCTCATAACGAGGTACTCTCTGGACCGGCTCCAACATGTGGTGCTGCAGGGTCAGACTACCACACACCGCCTGACTCTGGAAGATAAAGCAAATCAACAACAGGGCAAGATTGACTAAATGTTTTCACCACTGCAAAGTTAGCAACTATTGGTTTTCTTTGGGTGAATGGTGAAATTAAGATTAAGAGCATGAATAAGATATTCAGTAAAGTGTGAACAGAGATTTACTCTGTGTCCCTGCCCAGCCACCATACCTGTATGTCCTGTATGACATTCCTGAATGGTGTGGACCTCTCCGTCCAGACTCTAAGCAGCTCCATGGCGTGGTCGAAGCTCATCACGTACTCAGCATACATCCTGAGGAAGGGAGCATGCTGCTGCATGACATCACCCAGACGAGGACTCACAGACCTGCAGGGTCAAGGGTCGGTGATCAAAGGTCAAAAAATGATTATTTAATCACTGTTTAGATATGAAGCTAGAGATTTAATGTAAGAATATTAAAATCACTGTAGTCTTTGTTAGGCTGGATGAATGACAAAATAAAACCATATTTTTCATTGAATAAAAAAAGGTTCCAATCCAATCATGTCCTTCAGTTCCATTGTAGATAAGTACTTCAATTGCATCATCTACTTGGGTTGTCTCACCATTGGTCCATGTGTGTCTCCAGGTCTGGCAGTAGGAACTGGCTGTGGAAGGTGTGGATGGAGGAGATGTTGGAGAAGATTGTCCTCACCACATCTACAGGGAACAAGCCTTTACCGGCCGCCTCAGTAAGCCGCGCACAGAACACCTGCACACACACACACTCAGTGTTAAAACACTGCTAATCAATACATACTGATCAAGTCATGTGGTGATCACTACAGTGAATGAACAGAAACAATGAGGTTGACAGTGACACACTGACCTGGTCTAGCAGGTGAAGGCGAGCAACATAGGCCCGCTCCGTCTGTAGAAGCTCATTGGCTATCTTATATAGCTTCTGTTCAGTGGAGTCCTGCACCTTCACCTCCTCACTCCCTCTCTCCATCTTCTTATCTGTAGAGCTCTCCTGAAGCTTGGCCTTCTCCGTCCCAGTCTCAGTTCTGTGAGAGGGGGGCAGCTCCACGTTCAGCCCTGTATCCACCTTCCCTCCGTCTCCTATATGGCCATTGACCAGTACAGCGTCCCTCATCAGGTCCAAACCATTCATATTTATGGGAGAGATTTCCCTCGCTCTGCCCTCCCTATGGGTCACTACTACTGCCCTGTCTGGACTGGGTCTGTGACCATCCAGTCCTGTGTGGGAGCTGGGGGTAGACCCACTGCCTGGGTCTGTAGGCTGGTCCAGGCTTATGGAGGTGGTGGTATGTGTTGGGCTGCTGTTAGCTGATCTGAGCACAGACTGGTTTCCCTCAAGGTGAATGATGAGGTCAGGCAGGCGGCAGGGCGATCCTGCCATCAGTCCATGTCTCTTCTTCTTCCTGGCCCCAGGGCTTCTCAGCTGGTTCAGCCTGGATTTTGCACCTTTCCCTGGGGACTGAGATCCTAGTCCCCCCTGTATGAAGCTCTTTCCTGGGCTGTGAACCCCTAGTCCCTTTCCTGGGCTCTGGGTCCCTGGTGGTGCCCCCTTCACCGGGCTGTGGCTAGGCCTGGTCACAGGACACTTTCCTGGGCTGTGGACTGCTAGCCCCCTCCCTTGTTGTCCTGATCCCTTCCCTGTGAGTAGAGCTTCTCCTGGCACCTTGACAGGGCTCTTCCCAGGGCTCTGGAGATGGGCAGGTTCAGGAGACACTGGAGACAAGGAGGGAGGAGGGAGAGGCTGAGTAAGGGATCTATCCTAGCCTGGTTTCAGAACAAAAATATAAAACGCAACATGTAAAGTGTTAGTCCCAGGTTTCATGAGTTTAAATTTTAAAAAAATCCCAGAAATGTTCCCATACGCACAAAAAGCTCATTTCTCTCCAATTTTATGCACAAATTTGTTTATATCCCTGTTAGTGAGCGTTTCTCCTTAGCCAAGATAATCCATCCACCTGACAGGTGTGGCATATCAAGAAGCTGATTAAACAGCATGATCATTACACAGGTGCACCTTGTGCTGGGATAACAAAAGGCCACTTTAAAATGGGCTCTTTCCATTGACCGCCATTTCTGGTAATGGTGCTCCCACAGCTACAGTACTATACACAGAGCCACATACACTGCTGCTCAGTACTGAGGGAGAGCGAGAGATCTAGTAAGAGGGAGATTGGACACCTGCCACAGTGACATACAGTAAGGGTATGAGGAAGTTAATATACTTTAAAACAGTCCATCCTCTGATGGCATACTTATTAAATCAATCTGTAATCGACACCCCTTTGACTTATTGGTTGGATGGGCAATCTGTGTTTGCTACATCCATTTTTGGACTTTGATATTGGTGATGTGTCCCAATTGATTCTTGAAGAATGTAACTTGTAGATGCCTCATGAGCTTGGTTCAACAGTCTTAACCCGACGGAACCCAAAATGTAGGCTTGTTTTTCTCCGTTGTTTGTGAACAATGTAATTGTAAACAAACACTATCACCTCAAATTTTTTACATTTTGGTCTATTGGATGGTCAGTCTTTGCATCCATAGCTCGGTCTATGAATGTGAGAGTGGTTGCATTTCTCCACCCCCATTCCTCAGCAGGAACATTAGCGGGGTGGCCTCTGTTGTTTGAACTGCAGATTGCCCCTTTAACCATTGTAACCTTCTGCCCAGTGAGAATGTATCTTGTGTAAAGTATGGTATCTTTATAGTTTTATCTTGTCCCATTGTTCTTTCACTGAAGTCGCTAGCTCGCTTATTCTATGAGTTTCCAATGCTGTCAGGAGAAATTAAAGATTAACAATTGCATTCCTGGCCAAAAACAATGCCAAGCTTACTGATATTATTAACAATTCCAGGAATCAATGTGAAACAGAGCTAAATTCACCACGTGTTGCTGAGATGGTGTTTCTCCAAGTCATCTGACTGCTTTTCACTCTCACTTCTCTCAACAGGTTAACCCTTTCTAGTCTTCCTTACATCATTGGAGAGATAATAAGCTATATGTCTTAACCAACAGACTGCAGTCTGTGTCTGTGTGTCTCCTGAGGAGGAGAGGACGACCAAAGTGACAGTATGTTGTTTTGAAGTGGGTAAAAGTTAACAAAACAGGTTCTGGATTTCAGGCTAACATTCCACTCCATGTACTCTGTGTCATGCTGTTTAGCATGATAAGGAGTAGCATGATGACTCAGACTAGGTAAAAATTAGACAGAAAGTGCTGCCAACATATGAGTTTAGCATAATAATGATGACTCTGCAGTATTGGCACAGTTTGTGCTCACAGACACACACTCAAACCCTATGCGTTTGTCATACAGTGGCCAGTTAAATCTAAATGTTACTTAGCTAGTTCAAAATGGCACTGTGAAATAGTAAAGCAACTGAACAAAGTGTTTGCATGTTTCTGGTCACGAAAAAGCACACAACTTGAATCCACAAGATGTGTTGTCTGTCTGACAGAAGTCTGCCCTCTTCTCACATACACGCTATTCCAGAAAGGACAGAGGAGCGCGTCGCACACACCACTACTGTTCTTGAATGGAGTCCTGCTTCAGTCTCTAAGACTCATACACACCCAAACACACTCACTGCTTATCAGCAAGTGTCCCTTTCTGACTGAGTGGTCAGTGTGTGACTGTCTTTAAAGTGGAAGTGGAAGAGGAGGAGCTTCCTGAGTGAAATCAGGTATCTCCACAGACAATAACCACTACATTAGAGTGTAAGGGACAGTAAATCACTGTAACATATTATACCAGTCAGCTGTGCTCAGTCAATGCCTTGGCAGACATCACAGACACTCTGTTATGGCTTCAGCACTAGGTAGACTAGGTCTAGAGAGCCACAGGCAAAGTCCAGTCATATTTGTTCAGGGGAAAGGAGATTTCAGTTTAGCTCAACTTCAGTAAAATCGGAAGAGCTGAGCCCTGCTGCTGCCAATGTGCACACACAAACACACAATACCTAGAGAAGGTTAATTACAAACAGAACACATACACCCTCCAGGGCATGCCAGTGATAGATTAGCATAACCAGTAAAACTACTGACATGTTCCTCTTCTGCCACTTCAGTCTTCAGTGTGTAAATGCATCCTGACATAGGCTAGTTTCAATGCACTTGTGATAGCCACCCTAAAAAGGTGTAGGCTAATTCAACCACTAATAATACATTGCCTGAGTAGTTTACAATTAGAGAATGACACAATGGATTATTTTGTAAAGAATAGGCGCTAATAGCGTGTCTCCATTGTGGCCATGACTGAAAGCCCTCAGCTGGGGACTAAATAGGAGACACTGGGGCCGTCACTTGAATGGGAGGTATCCTGTCACTACTGTACAGGGATGACCAGACCAGCTAAACTCAGCAAAAAAAGAAACGTCCCTTTTTCAGGACCCCGTCTTTCAAAGATAATTCGTAAATTCGGGGCAGCAGGTAGCTTAGTGGTTAAGAGCGTTGTGCCAGTAACCGAAAGGTCACTGGTTCTAATCCCTGAGCCGACTAGGTGAAAAGTCTGTCGATGTGCCCTTGAGCAAGGCACTTAACCCTAATTGCTCCTGTAAGTCGCTCGTCTGCTAAATGACTAAAATTTTAATGTAAAATGTAATGTAAAAATCAAAATAACTTCACAGATCTTAATTGTAAAGGGTTTAAACACTGTTTCCCATGCTTGTTCAATGAACCATAAACAATTAATGAACATGCACCTGTGGAACGGTCGTTAAGATGCTTACAGGCGGTAGGCAATTAAGGTCACAGTTATGAAAACTTAGGACACTAAAGAGGCCTTTCTACTGACTCTGAAAAACACCAAAAGAAAGATGCCCAGGGTCCCTGCGCATCTGCGTGAATGGGTCTTAAGCATGCTGCAAGGAGGCATGAGAACTGCAGATGTGGCCAGGGCAATAAATTGCAATGTCCGTACTGTGAGACGCCTAAGACAGCGCTACAGGGAGACAGGACAGACAGCTGATCGTCCTCACAGTGGCAGACCACGTGTAACAACACCTGCACAGGATCGGTACAGCCGAACATCACACCAGCGGGACAGGTACAGGATGGCAACAACAACTGCCCGAGTTACACCAGGAACGCACAATCCCTCCATCAGTGCGCAGACTGTCCGCAATAGGCTGAGAGAGGCTGGACTGAGGGCTTGTAGGCCTGTTGTAAGGCAGGTCCCACCCGGCAACAACGTCACCTATGGGCACAAACCCACCGTCGCTGGACCAGACAGGACTGGCAAAAAGTGCTCTTCACTGACGAGTCGCGGTTTTGGTCGGATTCGCGTTTATCGTCGAAGGAATGAGCGTTACACCGAGGCCTGTACTCTAGAGCGGGATCGAGGTGGAGGGTCCGTCATGGTCTGGGGCGGTGTGTCACAGCATCATCGGACTGAGCTTGTTGTCATTGCAGGCAATCTCAACGCTGTGCGTTACAGGGAAGACATTCTCCTCCCTCATGTGTTACCATTCCTGCAGGCTCATCCTGACATGACCCTCCAGCATGACAATGCCACCAGCCATACTGCTCGTTCTGTGCGTGATTTCCTGCAAGACAGGAATATCAGTGTTCTGCCATGGCCAGCGAAGAGCCCGGATCTCAATCCCATTGAGCACGTCTGGGACCTGTTGGATCGGAGGGGGAGGGCTAGGGCCATTCCCCCCAGAAATGTCAGGGAACTTGCAGGTGCCTTGGTGGAAGAGTGGGGTAACATCTCACAGCAAGAACTGGCAAATCTGGTGCAGTCCATGAGGAGATGCACTGCAGTACTTAATGCTGCTGGTGGCCACACCAGATACAGACTGTTGCTTTTGATTTTGTCCCCCTTTGTTCAGGGACACATTAAAAAATGTATGTTAGTCACATGTCTGTGGAACTTGTTCAGTTTATGTCTCAGTTGTTGAATCTTGTTATGTTCATACAAATATTTACACATGTTAAGTTTGCTGAAAATAAACGCAGTTGACAGTGAGAGGACGTTTTTTTTTTGCTGAGTTCAGTTCCTACAGCATTAGATTGGGCTCCCCAATGACATGCAAACCTCGTCCATGCCAACACACCAGACTTTCTATCTAAAGATGACTTGGCTGTGGGCATCTTCTTTACCTTGCCGTCGCTGTTCCTCAAAATATGACTTCGGATCAGGAGCCACAGAGGATCCATCGCCACTGAGAATTAGTTAAATACATCATAACATGCACTGCAACAAACACAGACAACATAGGCTATAGTAGGATACATTTGAAATCTGTCAAGTTAGTTCTATTTGCGCTGACTCACTCAACATTACCAAAAGTTTACAAAATCAACTGCAGTTTGACAAAGCTGACCTTCTGTCTCCCGCGGTACTGCCTTCGATTTTCTCCTCACCGCCGTCCGCCTAAACTCCTCCGTCTCATGGGGAGTGGTCTTCACACTCTCCATCTTCATCAGGTCACCGTCAAACATGGTAATATTATTTATAATAATAACCTTTATACCACTTATTGTTCCCTTGAGCGTGAATAGAGATCGGATTCGAGGCGCGTAGTCTACGAACGCCGGAGGGATTTACGCAGGTAATCACCGAGCTGATCCTCCAACAAAAACGTAAATAAGCGTACCAAATAGCAAAAGTCCAATACCTATTTCAACACGCCATGAATCTACATCAGTGAAATCGAATCAGATAGATCTTAACAATGGTACAAAATACCGCCCCCGTTTTATAAACCCTCCGCCCCGTGAGCCTATTGGTGGAGGAAACTCCAATACTGTAGACCATTTTTCTAAAGGTTTTGATGGTAAAGTTTTACAAACAGATACAAAAGTGTTTAGCAGGCCCCTATAAGATTAGGGTGAATTTATTGTCTTTTGAAATGTAGGCTTTACATGGTTTAATATGCAATAAAAATGATTTGAAAGATACCACACATTTATATATTGCTGTCTGAATGTCTAATGGTTTTTATTGAGTTGTCGAGTAGTGTTGAAATTGTGCAAAGCAGTCCGTTAAACTTTATTATGGGACACACGTTCAGAGCTTCAGCTTTTTTCCCTGTCTACTATACACTCTCCAGGTCCGGAAAAAGTAGCTAGTGACATTCATAATTTTCTCCATAGCTTACTGTATGTCCAGTTGGCCTATGTACACCTTCAATGGTCTTTGAACCATCTGATAAGTTTAAAGAAACCTTCAGATAAATGAGAAATACATATGGTGGGGAAAATAGACAGAGTGACCCACAGTGTTACAACATACAGAATACTCCTGATATCCTCATTATTGAGGAGACATTGTGATTTAACTGTGCCATCCCCTAAACAGATGTGGAAGACAAATTTCAGTTGAATGCATTCAATTGTGCAACTGACAAGATATCCCTTCCTCTCGCCATTGGGCTCCAAAGCCAGTTTGCTCTCCCAAACTAATGCCTAGGGCTTTAGCTCTGTGGGTTAATACAGTCTCTGGCTGGTTACACAAAACCCCTTCCCTCTCCTTCATCTGCTTCATGTCATGTCTGAGAAGCCTAGTGGGTTCTTTGGCAGTTTGTTACGTGGCTTCCAACGGAGGGAATGGAGCGGACAGACAGCATTCACCAGAATAACACAAAAGGATGACAAAACCCAACGTTTTTGAAACCTTACTGTAGTTAGCAACCACAGTAATGGTCAGAGATCCTGTAGAAACAGAATGTTCTGTCTAAAGCCAGGTTGAGGTGTGTGAATACATCCTATTGCCACGCCTATGAGTTATGACTGCGAGTGGACGTTTTATATAGATGTTTAAAAGTTGCTGGGTGGTGGTTTGAGAAAAGCTCCAAATTGGTATTTCTAGGTTAGGATACATAGCATCATGGTTTAATACAGTACATTATAAACTGCCAACTACCTCTACTATTACTACCATACAGTGCTACTAGTACTACTATTCTATAGCTAAATAGTCTACACGCCGATCCAGCGTGGTTACTTCCATATACAGTATGTAGAAAACAAGAGGCAATCTTGGATCGAGATCTACTTTCAACATCAGGATTTAACCAAGTGAAGTTAACAGTCGATCACAACTAGTATTGGAATGCATTGGTCAGTTTGTGCTTGTTATTCAGGAGGTTGATTCAGTCCTTCAGAGAAAGGAGGTTGACGAAAAGTATGTTCCAAATGACACCCTATTCCCTATGTAGTGCACTACTTTAGGGAATATGATGTCATTTGGCACAAAGATGATGTTTCAACATAGATACTGTAGAACCAAGGAAGGATGATGATGGTACAAAAAGCCTGTTTGGAAATCTCTTATCCTGTAAAACAAAGTGCAATAGAAACATTTACATATACCGTAGCTGTATGAGCAAAGTGCCTTTTAAAGCAATTCCATAGAATATAAAAAAAACAAGCTACGATCTTGGTGAGGGGTGGGACAAGCGATGAACCCAATCCAAAAAGAGCAGAAAATGACTTAAACAATCTGTGTTTGTGAAAGCTAATACCTTTTACATGCATTTCAAATACACAGTTATGGCTTTGTCCTCTGCCACCTTGGCGTTCGCTACATACTGTATGGTGCCATTAATGATTGTACAGCTAGCTATACATTCAGCAAAACCCAACAGTTGTCCAACTCTTGAACCCAACAAAATGATCATCACTGGTCGTAACATAAAAGTATGTTTCAACAACCCCCAAAACACCATTGACAAATACATGATGAATAATGACTAATAGCTAGCTCGGTAGTAAAGATGGCGGCATGTCGCTCTTTTCTCCCACAGACCCTCAGTCAGACAGTCTCTTATAAGTCTTTGTGAGTGTCGTCTTTCTCTTCCACAATGAGAGGCACTGCTCCGGCTCTGCTCTGCAGAGTCCTGTGATGAGTTTAGAGGTCAGGGGTCAGGGTGTAGTAGTTCCAGGGTTATAGAGGACCAGGGGGACAAGGCGGCTGGGCGAGCCAGAGGAGAGGCACTCGTGGGGGGCTGCTGCTGTTGCTGCTCAGGGGCCAGTGAGCTCGGTGCTCCTGGATAGCTGACACAATGCTACGTCTGGGAGGAGCATGACCAGAGACAACCAGAAGACAAGAGGAAGAGGAGAGGAGATAACAGGAGACACACTGTGCCTGACAAAGATCTCAGATATCTACCTCGATCACTCAGACAAAAGGATATATCAATTATGATTTAAAATGGACTCATTTATAGTGTTCATGGTAGGTCAAGAAAGGCATAAAAACTCACACACACCCAAAACACACAGGATTGATTTCCTGATGCTGTACCCTGGCTATACTGTACAAGCAAAATTAAATATAAAAAATTAACATATACTGTAAACACATGCAACCTTTCAGTCAAAAGGAGAGTTTTAGCCTGGTCCCAGATCTGTTTGCGCTCTTGCCAACTCATTGCTTTTGCTTTGTGGCATGATAAATGAGTGAGGAGTTGGCATGATAGCACAAACAGACTGGTACTCAGGCTAGTTTTAGCCTGGTCTGGTCTAAGTTGTTTACCTGCTGGCTTGGGAGGCCTTCTCCCACCTTAGCTGTGAGGAGACGGACGGCACTGTGGCAGCAGACTTCTGACGATCTATGAGAGACTGACAGATTAGATGGAGAGACAGTACTGTAGAGAGAGGTGACAGGGATGGAGAGTAGGGGACATCACAGATGATCATATCCAGCAAGGGAAAAATACAGAGTACTTGGTTCGACCCCCGGGACCACCCATACGTAAAAATGTATGCACGCATGACTGCAAGTCGCTTTGGATAAAAGCGTCTGCTAAATGGCATATTATTATTATTTACCAAGAAAATCACCCCAATATCAGCGTTTTCAAGAAGCACATTCAGTTACACATTTTCTGCAAGAATGTTTCTATTCTTAAATATTCTAAAATGCCTAACAACTAATGTATTTGATATATTGTACTGTTCAATGGAATGTATGCTTACAGCTTCCCATGATGCTTGTGTAATAACTGAGCAGGCTGTGTAAAGTAGGCCTATGCATATCTGAGTGGAACACATGACAACTACTTCATGAAACTAAGATGACAAGGCATTCCTCCCCAACCCATGAGAGGAGAACGCGAGAGAGATGTTCAAGAACACTCAAAACAGAAAGGACGACGACACACAAAATACAGGTCATTTATACATGATATTTAGAGTATATACGAAGAGTATGAACATAGCACTGTACACAGGATACAGCTTTCCAATACTCAGTGTTATATACACATGCATATAAAGTGCTCAAAAGCTAACAGGCTGACAATCAGTGGTAACTATTAACAGTCTGCCTGGAAATGGAAATGGCTTTAGCACAAGCAAGGGTGTTTAGATTGACAATGTTTCACATTATGAAAGACTCCTGAAACAGAGAGCAGAAGAGGAAAATTGCATTCACTGTATTCACAGAGGGAGAAATCACAGGCAAATAGATGTGGTGGGAAACAAATACATCTGAAAGGGGAAGGAGGAACAACGCATTTGACAGGACTGAGATCCTCTTGCATGTACGGATGGAATTATGATGTAGCGGGACCTAAAACTGTAATGAGTTTGGTGTGTGTGTGTGTGTGTGTGTGTGTGTGTGTGTGTATATATTTGAGTGTGAGTTGGGCGGAGTGAGGAGGGTTTCACAGAGAGGAGGTCACACTGGTTTCCTTTCTTGAGAAGCTAAGACAGCAACCCCTAGCATCTATTTGATATTTGACAATCCTTCCCTTTTCATTCCCTCATTGCAGAAAATATCTATATCCAGCTAATTTACCATCTGATGGAAATGTTCCATATTATAACCTACACTACAAAGGTGTTCTTATCAAAGTAACAGGCATAGTGTTGTGCCAAGGCAGGTAGATGGTGCTGGTGCATAAGCTAGAGTATGGGACAGAGTCATACACATGTACAGTAATCGCTAACGTGATGAAGTGTAACAAATAAAGTAGCGTAATACAAACTCCTTGTATAAAACTTGAAGGTCACTGAGGTGGTTCCCACGCCAAATCTACAGTCTTGATTGTGTTTCTGTACATTCACCATTAGATGACTATTGGAAAAAAACATTCAACCAGCTCAATCAGCCCAACAATGAGTGCAAGAACAGTGAGTATTTCTGTTATGGAAAATATGTAAATGTCACCTAATGGTGTCAACAAAGTAGCTGAGAGGAGTCCTGTCAAATGCGTTTTTTGCTCCATATTGCATGTTAGAACAAAATGTTGGGGTATATGTAGATCACTTGAACCAATGGAGATTGGGCTTGTTAAGAGTATAAACACACAGTGTTGTTGTGGTAAACTGGGCTCCAAACTTGGAACTGGTGGGGTGGGGGGGGGAGACTGGACTGGTCCAATACTAGAGAGGGGGGTCAAAACTGGGAGAGACTAAGGAGACTTTTCTGACCAGCATTCCATTGACAGCCCAACTAGCCAAAATCTATAACTGACCCTTACCATAACTCTAACCTTAACCAAACTCATAACCTTAACCTCATTTTAACCAATTCAAAAATTAAATATCGGTTTGCACGTCAGCCACATCCTCTTAGTTTTTCCTGTCAAAACCGAACTGTGCATGGATTGGGCCAAAGTTGGCAAAGCCTACTCACTGGCTAACACCCAGTAGCAGTGTATCCCTCATCAAGAGCACTGTCTACAGACACTAATGCTGATCATTTGGCAAGGCTTTGTTATTTTCCATTCTAACCTATGGGATAGGGCCAAAAAACAAAAACCGTTGGCATGAAAAAAATAGTTCTTAAAGAAAATAGGTGAGTTGATAGAAATCATGTCTTATCAGTCATTGTCGTTGTACTGAGCAGGTGCTGTAGTTGTTAAGGCACACACATCCACAGGTGACACACTATCATGTGTGCAGAAACGGTGAAATCCCATCTATGCATCATATAGTAGCTCTATGCTAACTAACCCATAGCCTAAATGTCATTCAAATCTTTGTCTATATTTCTATAATAGTGTAATGATAATTCTGGTTAACAATTCATTCTTGTTGAACCCCAGTTGAAAAGTGTGTGTGTCAGCTTCCCTGAGTTTGGTGGTGAGTGAGTTTCTATCTATTACATTCATCCATCTATGCTGTTGTGTTCCTCTGGAGTTACCCTCCGAGGCACTAGGGGTGCTGTGTAGCTACAGCTCACTGTCTGTCTCGCCTACTGATATGAAACCCAGAATCACCTAGCTCGCTCTGTCTCATAATGCTAACATTAAAACCATCATGGTGTGCTGATTCCAGGTCATTTATGTTACAGGTTTAATATGATCTTCAACCTCGACGTAAGTCTTCAGTCTCTAACTCCTGAATATATGGTGATATTACAAACTGCCATTGGGTGGTGCTAGACTAAAGATGTGCCAGTGCTTACACAGCAGATGTGAGGATGACCGCAATAACATTGTGAGGACAGTGTGTACAGAGCTGTGAGTAATAACTGAACAATTAAAAATAGCAAACAATCCATAATCACTTATCGGTCTTATCCAATACTTGCTTTGAATGACATTTGGTTACAGTATGTGTGATTTTCATTAAAAACAGAGAGAGAATAACACTGTCAAGTAAGTGGTTGATCTGTCGAGACCTCAGTCCAACGTGAAAAAATTCCTTCAAATGTCCAGTTAACCTAAATGTCCTTCTCATCTGTCTTTCCATACAGCAGTAAGGTCCTGCACACATATTCATTCGTTTTGTGGATGGTGATTTGATTTAAAGGGCAAGACCAAAACTACTGTGTATGTATGGTCTGTAAAGTGTCCTGTCTCTCCTGTAGTTTCGACTGATCAACAGTCTGTGAATAAGAGGAAGGCAGGGCCACTTGTGCTCCATGTTGTGTTAAATCCCTGAGGAAAGTCAGTCTGAACATTCACGCCGATACAGAGCCACATCCACATGCTGCATCGAGGCCAGAGGCTTAGGCACAAGAAACAGGAAACCAGTCTGTCCTCCTCTCTGTGAGCCCCACCCACTCCCCCAGGGGCTGATGGGAAATGTAGTTTAGCGTCATTAAATATTTTGCCGTCTGAAGGGGCAGATGGAATCTGTAGTTCTGTTTAGAGAGGGGACTCATCGGATTTGTAGTGTTGTCAGTGAGGAGGTTTATGGGAACTGTAGTTTAGTGTCAGTGAGGGGGTCGATGGGAACCGTAGTACCTAGGGTAGAGGGGACTGTAGCTGCTGATGTGGCTATATGAAGTGTGGGGGGTGTATGAAGAGGGTGGGGTATATGATGAAGGGGAGTAATGAGCATATGAAGGGGTATAGGAACTGGAGGGGGTATAAGGGGAGGAAGGGGTGTAAGAACTAGAAGGGATATAGGAACTAGGAGGGGTGTAAGAAGAGGGGGTATAAAGGGCTGAGGTACGTGTCAGGTTGGTAAGGGGGCGAGTTCGAGGGGAGCTCCACGTCAACCGGCGAGACCCCAGTATGGGAGAACGGTAGGGGGAGGAGGGGGCCGAGCCAGGCTGAGCACCCCTGCTAGGAGACGGCCGTGAGTCTGAGGAGTAATGCCTGGAGAGCCCAGTAGTGCTACGTGCTAAACTAAAACTATGGGAGTCTAGACTGAAACTGTGGGAGTCGACCTCTAATGTCCGGACACCCAGGGCCCACTGGGAGTGAGCCAGCATGTGGGGGGTGGATGGGGGGGTCAAGGAGGAGGAGGGCTCCTCCAGGGAGTGGGGGCTGCCTGGTACTGTGGGGCCTGAGAGGGCCGTGGAGGAGGGGCTGAGGGGGTGTCTATGATGTAACGTAGGGGAGCCCAGGGCTAGGCCGTCTGTAGTAGCAGAGGTCGGGCTTAAGGGGGCGCCAGCGCCGGTGGTGGGGCTTGAGGGAGGACCGGGACTTACTTTGGGGGTGCTGCTCTTCATGCGGGCCACCTTGCCGCCGCGGGTGCGGTGCGACTGCTCCTGGTCGAAGGCTAGGTCCTCCAGGCGCTGGGTCAGGGCTAGCTTCTGCTGGATGGCCATACGCAGGAGGGAGTTGAGAGTCTTCTTCTCGTCCTCCGCCGCAGCCAGCTGCCTCTGCATCTCATCCAGCTGAGTCACATACTCGTCACACCTGAGAAGTTTCAAGGAGAGGGGTTGGGTGCTTACAAAAAACAAAAGTTTTGGTTACACAGTGTAGGTGGAGATAGGTTCAGAAGAAATAACATGATTAGTAGTAGAGAAGAGAGAGAGAGAGAGAGAGAGACAGAATAATGGAGAGAGCGGGGGAGAAATAGTAAGGGTAGGATGTAGAACTAGTCTATCCCTTTAACAAGCTGTCCCTGGTCTCCCCTGGTCTCTCACCTGGTAGTGAACAATAAGAAGTCAATAAAAGAAAGAGAGATGAAGGGAGAGAGAGAGGAGAGAAATAGTCACCTGGTGGCGAACATGGCTCTGAGCGATGAGAAGGTGGCAGCGTCCTCCTTCAGGGCCTTCAGCTCGTTCCTCAGCTTCATCATGGTGTCTGTCACCATGTGCTTCTCATTCTCATACTTACTCTTCAGGTTGGCCAGGGCATTCTCTGCAGTCTGTAAGAACAAGGGAACAGGGATATTTCTTTAACCTTTATTTAAACAGAAAGTCCCATTGAGGTCAGAATACATTTTTCCAAAAGGGAGTTAGAAAACAATCGAAAACTCAAAGTGAGGACATTGGTGTGACTGTGACAGCAGCCTCTAGATATCCTGATGGCCACTGTAGCCTGGTAGCCTTAAAAAAAAACAGTTTGTGTGAGAACCATCTTTTGGAGATTGCTTGTCACGAGTCTCAAAGTAGATTCTAGCAAGGCAGTGTTAGACAGCGAATGACCAGCATGATGCTTAATCCATGTTCATAGTAATCCATATCTCGGATGCCATATCCATGTCTGACCTGTTTGTTAGCTTTGAGCACCAGTCTGAGGGTAGCTATCTGTTCTCTCTTGGTGCTGAGCAGGGACTTGAGCTTCAGTATCTCCTCCATACAGGCCTCTTTGTCCTTGTCAAACAGTGGGGCCAGTTCCCTGGCTGCAGCCCTCTGTCTGGACAGCTGGAGTGACCGGTCCACTGCCCTCTGGAGGTGCCTCACCTACAGCATGTTCATCAAGGGAGATTGTTAGCGAACATTAGCTAATGTTGTCATATACACTCAAATCTGTGTCTGTTAGCTTCATGATGAGCATTTGGAAGGTTAAGGGTATCAACTGGCGAACAAACTGTGATAAACTGTTTCAGGTTTGAACTGCCAATGAAAACAAAGATGTAAGTATGGCAAATACACAGTCACCTGCTCTCTGATGATGGCGTTGAGGTTATAGATGTTCATGGGTTCCCTACGCAGGTCTCCAGCTGGCTCTACCGCAGGTGACGATGATGATGAAGATGAGGAAGAGGCACTGATGCTGGGGGAGCCCGTAGGAGGGGTGCGGGGTACAGGACTGTCCCTGTCCCGGCCCCCCTCTCCTGACAACCGCTCTTTGGATGGGGATTCCGAGGGGCTACGAGACTCCGCCGTGGATGACGAGGTTGCCGTGGCAACAGCTGCTGCGAGCCGCCGGGCGAGGCGGGGCGTGAGTAGAACGCGGGTGTCGTCACCCTTGAGTGAGGCACTGATACCCCTCAGTCCTCTGCCGTGTCTGTAGTAGTCTAGCATCACGCGGTTGGGCGTCTCATTGTTACAGAGGCAGACGTGGTGGTAAAGTTGAGCCAGCTCCTCGCTGAAGGTGACCAGTTCGTCCTGCGCTGCGTTGAGCGCCCCCTGGCTCTCACTGGCCATGTTCTTGGCTGTTCTCAGCTCTGTCTCCAGGCCCCCCACCCTCTCCCTACCCTCCCGGCAGCTCCTCTCCAGCCTCCCCACCTGCTGCTCCAGAGATCTGTGCTGGGCCTCTCCCCGCGTCCTCTCCTCCACCCCGCCCTCCACACACTGGTTGTACCTCTCTCTCAGACACTTCAGCTCAGCCTTTAGCTCGACCACCTCGGTTACAGCCACCCTGTATTTACACTGCAGGATCTCCAGACCCGGGGTCTGGTGGCAGAATGCCTGGCCCCTGCTGTGTATTAATCCCCTCTCTTTCTCCTCCTCTTCCTCTTCTCCCTGCTCCATCAGGGCCTCTCGGTTGAGGTGGGCCTCCTGGTCGTGCTGGGCCTCCTGGGCGAGCTGGGCCTCCCGGTGCAGGTGCCTGAGGGCGGTGACTCGCTCGCTGAGGCGGAGGGCCCTCTCGTGCTGCTCGTTCAGGGCACCCTGTGTATGCTGCAGCTGCGTCTGACACTCTTGCAGGCTGATCAACAGCACAGTTTTCTCTCGCTCCACCTATGGACACACACACAGCTATTGTCAGCCTATTGTTAAACTAGTAGCTTTCCTTATCATCTCCAGCCCCATTAACTAAAATAGCTGCATCATTTTGGTGGTCCTCTGTAGCTCAGCTGGTAGAGCACGGCGCTTGTAACGCCAAGGTAGTGGGTTCGATCCCCGGGACCACCCATACACAAAAAAAATGTATGCACGCATGACTGTAAGTCGCTTTGGATAAAAGCGTCTGCTAAATGGCATATTATATTATATTATTATATATTTTCCTGCACACTCAGCACAGTCCACTTCAACCCTCAGGAACCCCCCCTGCTGAAAAAAACAGCATAGACCAGCATAGGCTGATCCAGCATAGGTGTTGGTTTTGCTGGTGACCAGCCTTCACTCTGATTTCATGGTGCCTTCATTGTGCTTTTGTGGTGCCGTCGCTGTGTTTTAGTGGTGACCAGCCTTCGCTGTGTTTTGCTGGTCACCAGCAAAACCAGCATCAAGCACATCATGCTGGCTTGCAAAGTGACGTTTATCCAGCCAGAACAACTAACCTTTTTTCATCCACAACATGCATTCAGAATGACTGCCAGGATCAGAAAGAAGAATAAATGAGACTACCCAAATGATCTAAACTGGAACAACCATTTCAGTAACGGGTGCAATAAGTCCAACTAAACAGATTAATTTAGAAAAATGTTTGTTATTTATCTTTGTGTAGTATAAGATTAATGAATCAATCAATTGTTCAAAAACACAACAACCAAATATGATATTGAAACAAACAATTCTAAAAATCAACTACCAATAGAGCATGCTGGGAAATATGATAATGATGGGCGTGGTCAGACCAGCTTGACCATGCTGGACCAGCATAGACCAGCATGGTCACCAGCATACCAATATCACCAGTGTAAACTGGTATGTGTCCAAAACACAGTGAAGGCTGGTCACCAGCGTCCAAAACAAAGTGAAGGCTGGTCACCAGTGACCAAAACACATCAAAGGCTAGTCACCAGTGACCAAAATACAGCTAGACTATGCTAGTAAACCAGAATACCCAGCTAGACCATGCTGGTCTATGCAGTTTTTTTCAGCAGGGCCTAAACTCTGCACACTACAGAGGGAACAGTAAACCATGCACACTCCTGAGGGCAAATCAATAGTCTAGTGTGTCAGTGAGGATATAAATACGCCCTTCATCCAGTCCAGCCAATCGGAGAGAGGCTGAGGGAATGTGTTGGGAGATGCCATTTCACCTACAGGGATTGCAGTATATGGTTGGACACACATCAACCCCACACACACTTCATCCGGCTGCATCTTCATCTCACTGGCCCACTGGGCTGGTGGAAACTACAGAAGAGGAGACACCCACTGTGAAACAAAATGGCGGACATTTTGATTAGAGTCCATGTAACAGCCAGTGGTCTAGTAACGGCTGTTCCCACAGCTTCTCACTGGTGCTACAACACTTTATTTGACTGCTGGTATAAACTTGATTATTTATAGTCTTGAAAGAGGCAGAGAAAGTGAGAGGGAGGGGCAGGCTGAGAGAGAGAGAGAACAGGAAGAGAGAGAGAGCTGCATGCAGTGAGGTTATGTCAGCAGTCTCTCTCACTCTGAATAATTCAACACTTATTCCCACATCTACAATATGGGGCTGCTGAGGGGATATAAACATGTGTGTTCATATGTACAGAATCGGTGTGTACATGTGTGCACTTTGCAATATTGTTTATGTTTACATACATGAGTTATAATGAGTATGTTCATGTTTGCCACAGTATTCTGATATACTCCTGTATGTCATTGTTTCATGTGTATAACACTGAGAAATCTGAGCACCAAACTCTAGAGGCCACCGAAACCACTCTACTTATTCAAACTGAGTGAACTGTACTTCTCCACCCACCTGTAGCAGCTGCTGCCTGAGCTTCTGTATCTCTGTCAGGTTCATCTCACTGAACAGATCCGACACCATCCCCTCTCCCCGACACTCTCCATTGGCCCTGGGCAGCGACCCCGTCCCCGTCCCAGTTCCTGACCCTCCATGTAGATGCCCGTTACATCTGCTCGGCTCCTCTGAGCTGGGCGACAGGGCGGCGACAGGCGTAGCCGTGCCACTAGGTGGCGCTGAGGTGAAAGTGAGGTGGGCGCTGCCGGTGTATTGGACGTCACACAGGCTGAGGTGGTGGACCAGCTCCTTGCGGAGGTGCTTCTTCTGCTCCCGCTCGCTCTTCAGGGAGTCCAGGGCCTCCTCTAGCTGGGCCTCGGAGATGTCTTTGAGACGTAAGGCGTCTTCTAACTGACTGTTCAGCAGCTCGGTCTCCTCCTCCAGAACCTTGATCTCATGCTTTAACCCCTCGTACTCCACCTAGGGGAGGGAAGGAGGGAGGAGGGGAGTAAGAGGTAGAGGGAGAGGCATAATGTGGTGTTAGGGATGGGTACACTGTGTGTGTGTGTGTTTGTGTGTGCACGCGTGTGTGCATGCATGTGTGTGTGTGTGTGTGTGTGTGTGTGTGCAACCGCATGTGTGTGTAAGTTTGAGTGTGTCTGTGTGTGCATGTGTATGGGTACATTTGTGTGTGTGTGTAACCACATGTATGTGTATGTTTGTGTGTGTGTGTGTGTGTGTGCGTGTGTATGGGTACATTTGTGTGTGTGTATGTACTGTGTGTGTGTTCTCTCACCTGGTTCTGTTTGAGTGTGGACACTAGTTTCTGCAGGATGATGTTCTCCTCCTCCAGCTCAGTATAGTCCTGTAGGAGTCGGGCCTCTCTGAACTTATACTCCCTGATCTCCTCTCTCATCCGGCTCCGCTGCAGCTCCAACATCTCATTACTCTACAGGACAGACACAAACACCAGGGGTTAGTTATCACACAACACTGAGTACTATCAAATACACAAGACCTGAGGTTATTATCACAAAACAACACTGGACTGTTTACTATCAAACACAACAAGGATTTACTGTAAAGCACTTTGTGACAAATGTTGACGTGAAAATGACTTTATAGCCTAGGACATCCTAAATACATGTTATTGATTGGCATTGATAGGGATATATAAGCCACACACACTAAACTGTGTTTAAGATCAAATAATGGGCCCACCACCACCGCCAATAACTGTGTATATATGTATATATTAAGTACCCACTGCTTTGAGTCTCCTCTAAACCCCTCCCCCATGACCTCTAACCCCGGGTTCCTCACCTCTCCGAGCTCCTGCAGCAGGGTACTGAGGTGTTCGTTGTCGGCCTGTGTGTTAACTGTGACGGCCCGGCTCTGTTTGAGCTCTGACTGGATCCCCAGGAGGCGACCCATGTAGTAGGCCTCCTTAGTGGCTGACTCCTGCAGGAGGGTCTCCTCGTTGGTCTCCCCGTCCGCAGCCACCTTACGCTGGGTGGAGAAGGTCTGGCCAAATGCCTGGGGAGGGGCAGAGGAGGGAGGGGGTGAGAGAGAGAGAGAAGTTATGACATTTCAGTAGCATAGCATCACATCATAGGAGCTTTAATTGTTCTTTTTCTTTTTCTTTTATTTAAATGTTATTTTCTGACTCCTATAACATACAGAGAGAGGCAAAGAGCAACCACCACCTGAAACTGTTCCACCATCTAGTCTGGTCTGGTGTACATTACAGACAGCATGACAAAACCCCACAGGGCCAGACTGAAACCAGTTGAGACATACTTTACACAGCCAAGCTATGACTGGTGGTAATGTGAATTCCATGGCCTAATCATAGAAGGATTGTAGGCCCTGATCCTTGGAGTGTGACTGGAATAAGGGACGGAGCACACCTCGCATACACACGCACACACACACACACACACACACACACACACACACACACACACACACACACACACACACACACACACACACACACACACACACACACACACACACACACACACACACACACACACACACACACAGTAGGGATGCATGATATGGGCAAAAACATCTACTTGCATTTTTGGGGGGGATTCATTGTGCAGCCCTAACACACATACAAACACACACACACACACACACACACACACACACACACACACAGGAAATCTACTTAAGGTGCCGAGCGACAGTGAACTCAAGGGAAGGAGGGATAAAACAAAGACTGCTGGGAAAATAGAAAAATGGAAAGATGGAGAGAGGCAAAGAATCCTGCTCTCCTCTGAGCTTTTAGCAACAGAACACAGATTAATGACAAAGCACATTTTACTCACTTTTCGGATTGGAAGCACTTTAAATGATGTGGTGTGAAACCTAAACGTAACCTAAATATAATGATCATGTAAATACATAGGTTTAAGTGCACTTAACGTAAAGTAGGACAAGAGGCAAGACAAACGTAATATTCCCTACAGGGCCACTGAATAAGTACAGTCTACCGAAACAGCCATGCAAGGACTCCCTATTAGTTCAGACTCACATCTCCATACTGTAATAGAGAGAGTAATGCTTTTTCACAGAGATGTATTTGTGTACACTAACAGATTCAGCATAATTAAACATAAGAACTATTGGAGATACTGAGGAATGTTTGGATGTTGTATAGTTTATGACTGCTATATATTCTGTTTTGAAGCTGTTTGCTACTGAAAAGGAGTGAGACCTTTTCTACAGCATTTGAAGGTTTAAAGGTCATCTGTGGTTTGATGATGAAACACTGCCCTTCATCTGCCAAAACACACACACGCATGCGTGCACGCTCACACACGCTCGCACACACGCACGCACACACGTACAATCATACACTGTGTCAGATGTCACTATATGCTAGCGTTTTTTTTTATGAAAGGTGACCTTTGATAACGAGAGCACATGTAATTTCAGCTTATAAAAATATGGATTTCCAAAGACATGTACAGTAGACAGTAAAGAGAAATACAGTGCCTATGTTACCCATGGCAAGCAACTGGTCTACCAATCTATGGTCAAAGAGGTGGGTCATACAAACCTATATACATGCTTGAGGAATAACTTACACTATGACCACATACATCAAGGTAAAAGCCACATTAAATCATACACCTCTAAGGGTTGAGTAAATGTCATCCTAAATGAAACAATGTCCCCCTCCAATGTCATTACAATAGCATCAACTCTTATCGCAGCCACTCACTTTAAGTGGAGAAGAGAAGCTGAGGAAGCATCCCAAATGGCATCCTATTCCCTATATAGTTCACTACTTTTGACCAGAGCCCTATGGGCTCTATATAGGAAATAGGGTGCCATTTGGGATGCATGCCCTAACACTGGTCATCCAATTTCCTCTGACGGTAGAGTAGAACATTCTCCCTGCTTGACTAGAGACAGATGAGGCGTTACAAAGCAGAGCAGAACAGGCCACGGTGCCACCAAGCCTTTTTATCTGCTGCAGATCCCAATATGTAGCCTCTCGAGGCACTCTCTGTCTGGCAAGAACAGACATCATCCTAGTGTGGCTGTGTCTCAAATGACACCCTATGTATTCCCCGTGTACTGCACTTTTGACCAACATGAAACATTGACTACATTTTGTGGTAGCCTATATGAGCAGTGTTTCGAACAGACATTCCATGGGATAGAGATCATGTTGAACTGCATCAGTGGGCTAACGCTTCAGTATGACTGTTAGTATTTCAGCGCCACGGACATCGACACTAACGGTACAAATGCTTACAAACTGGTCACCTGGTTTGCACGTTTCCGTTTGTTATACCCTGAGTCAATGACAGCAATTCCTGCTTTTTGATGTCAAGAAGTGGTGAGAGGAGAGGAGAGGAGAGGAGGTGTCTCAGTATATTATCCCTCAGAGGAGAGGACACTTTCTCTGCTCCTTCTAAAGATAAATAAATGACATCATTTACAGGAAGAAGGTGAGTCAGCAGATGTACTGCTAGGATGCTCTAGTGAGGGAGAAGCACAGAGAGGCTTTAGGGCTTTAGTCTAGAGAGGTATTAAGAGCACATGGAGGGTTTAGGGCTCTAGTCTAGAGAGGTATTAAGAGCACATGGAGGGTTTAGGGGTCTAGTCTAGAGAGGTATTAAGAGCACATGGAGGGTTTAGGGCTCTAGTCTAGAGAGGTATTAAGAGCACATGGAGGGTTTAGGGCTCTAGTCTAGAGAGGTATTAAGAGCACATGGAGGGTTTAGGGCTCTAGTCTAGAGAGGTATTAAGAGCACATGGAGGGTTTAAGGCTCTAGTCTAGAGAGGTATTAAGAGCACATGGAGGGTTTAGGGGTCTTTCCAACAGACACAGACACACTCAGGGATGCCTGGTCAAGTAGTCAAACACTGTCTATTGTCTTCATCCAAAGATAGCTTGTAGTGGGGTGGATTTGGGTTAAATTCGCCCCTCTACAAGGTGGGCCCGGTTGAAAACACGGGAGTTCAAACCCGCAGGTTGGTATTGGTTTCCACAGAGAGGCAGACTGTCTGAGACGTAATCTGATGTCATCCCCTGTGCTTTCTCTCTTCTCTGTCCTCTCTCACACTCTTTCTCTCTGTTTTATGTTTGTCCTCGTCTCAGTGAGAAAGAGAAAGAGAGAGAAAGTGCAGGGGATGACATCAGATGACATCACATACCATGTAAGTGTTATTAGCCTCTCGATTTATTGATGATTAACCAGAGACGTTTCCTAGAATCTCCAATATGGCAGAAAGTAAACAACGCCACAGACAATAACAGACTGTGGCGTCTGAGGTGTGTGTGTGACGTGTGTGTGTGTGTGTGTCGTTATAACATTGCTACAGTTTCAGTTACACTCACTCATAGTCCAGGTGTTACATAGAAATCTGTGCCCCCAGAAATCTGTGCCACTCACTCATACAGGCATACAGTAGTCTTCAGGCATCACTAAGAAATCTGTTACAATGTTTTGTGTCCTACTTTCAGAGAGACATCCTGCTGACATAGTGCCTTAGTCCCAGCTCCGTCTCCCACTCAACATAGAGAGCAAGATAAAACAAAAAAATTACCTTTATTGGCCCAATAGTTACATCATTAAAAGCACACGTATTAATTTTTTACCCCTTTTTCTCCCCAATTGGTAGTTACAGTCTTGTCCCATCTCTGCAACTCCCGTACGGACTTGGGAGAGGTGAAGGTCTATATGTACTATATTACGTATTGGATCAATAAAACATTTTTTTTCTTTTCTTTGCCATGTAGTTTACCAATAAAATGGTCTGATGGTGATGTGGATATACTCAGAATACATATCCCAAAGGAAATAAATGATCTCACTTCAATAAATTATAATAGAAAGTTAGCAGAAATAGATAAGATCTTGCTACCATGGAAAGGTGGGTGCCTGTCAATTCGTGGAAAAATCACCCTGATTAACTCCTTAGTATTATCCCAGTTTACCTATTTGCTTATGGTCTTGCCTACGCCTAGCGAACAGTTTTTTAAATTCTATGAGAAAAAAAGATTCCATTTTATTTGGAACGGCAAGCCAGACAAAATTAAACAGGCCTATTTATATAATGAATATGAATTCGGAGGACAGAAATTATTAAATATTAAAGCATTAGACCTATCACTAAAAGCTTCAGTCATACAAAAGTTATACTTAAATCCAAACTGGTTCTCTAGCAAATTAGTAAGATTGTCTCACCCAATGTTCAAGAATGGCCTTTTTCCCTTTATTCAGATTACAACCTCTCACTTTCAGTTATTTGAAAAGGAAATCATCACCCAGATATCACTATTTCTAAAACAAGCCATAGAAAGTTGGTTGCAATTTCAATTCAATCCTCCAGAAACGACAGAACAAATAATGCAACAAATATTGTGGTTAAACTCAAATATACTAATTGACCCAAAAACTTTTTTTTTTTTTACAAAATGTTTAAAAAAGGTATAATCTTTGTAAATGATATCATCGGTAGGACTGGTGTCACACATGCAGCTAACAAACATATGGAAATGTCTGCTCTACCCAAAATTACAACCAAATAATTGCAGCCTTACCGCAAAAATGGAAGAGGAAAGTGGAAGGAGGAGAAAGTAAGGAACTTGTCTGTCGGCCTTGCATTAAAGAACATAATTAGTTAAGGAAAACTGTGATAAATAAAAAAGTATATCAGTTTAATTTAAGGACCAAAGGATTGACAGCCGTCCCATATAGACTGATAGTAGTTGGGAAGAGATTTTTGACGTACCGATCCCATGGCATAGTGTTTATGAACTGATACGCAAAACGACACCGGATTTAAAACTTAGAATCTTTCAATTTAAATTATTATATAAAATTATTGCTACCAATAGAATGTTATTTATATGGGGGATACAATCTTCCCAATCTATCTGCAATATTAAGCTGATCTACCCCAAAAAACAAAAACAACAAAAAAGACACGGCGGTTGGAACCAAAAATCTCCAATTTGGACTCAAGACCAAAGGACACATTTCCACCTGTCTAAAGTGCATTGC